AAGCTTCTTTCCCAGTCTCTTTAACCTTTGGTGATATTCAGGGGCAGGGGCGGGGTTAAGATCCGGGACAGCGGGGTACCAAGGTATCCCAATGGAGGGGCACCAGAGCTTGTAAAGGGCGGCGAGAACGAGCACACATACCGTAGCCCTGTTGCTGGTGCTGCTTGGGCTTATCGTCGTCCTTGGCAAGGTACTCTTGCGCGGCGTTCATGAGCTTGTCCATTGTGAAGAAGCTTGTCGTAGCTTGATGATGATGATGGGTAATGATGTAATAGTGTGGGGGTTCTTGGGGTAGAGAACGCTTAGTCTTGCAAGAAGTGAAGAAAAGAGAGAAGAGATGAAGGAGAGAGGAGAGATGACGCGAACGAGAAGAATTAAAAGCGTAAGTAAGGCAGTCCCAGGTTTTGATAGCTCTTTGTAAATAGCACAGGCGAGCCACGTCTCCGCATCACCAAGCGGGCGATCAACTGTCTCAGGAGCCCTGAGCTGGCCATGCATCATTGCATGCCCCCTCCAAATCCAGAAGCAACGTCGAATCAGAATCGAACGGCATCCAATGAATCTGTGGCAGACTGTTGATTTGGTCTGATAGGCCTCCCGGTTCACAGCCACAATCACCAACCTGAGCAGCACAGGCGGTAGAATGGAACCACTGAGAACACATCCTGTAAGGTATGGAGCAAGCTAGCTGTACATGGGGAGAGGACCACAAGCCCCCGGGCCGTCCATAGACTACTCATGTCGGTAGTGCAACTCAAATGACGCAGCTCGATGCTTGCACACGCCGGAGCAGGCGATACAATGTGTGCAGTCGTTGAGAACCGGGTCAGATGTTTTCGTGAGGTGAGGTATTTGGGCTCCATGGGCGGTGCCTTGGTAAGTGCTCCTCAGTTGGACCCTGAAGTAGCCCCTCACAAGGTAGGTACCCCTCCACAGCTGATCCGCCCCGACAGCGGGGTCCTTTCTGCGAGAGGCCCCCCGCCTGGATGATCAACGGAACCTAGCACCTTTGGTTATTGCTTAGGTACCTTAGCTGCCTATGTCCCACCCACAGCAGCAAGCTCTACACACCCTGGCAAAGCAGTCGCGCAGCGTAAGGTAGTGGCTGCAATTTATTCGCGCGGGGATGACCTGAGTCGCCTCTATGCAAGGACGAAGCCTGCCCAGCTGTGTGTAGAGCCCCAGGGCGAACGACCTGTTTCAAGAAACCCCCGGGCTTTCATGTGTCAACCCCAGTCGATAGTATGGCCATGGACGCGTGAACGAGGCGAATTCGGATCTGGAACGGATGTAGTACTCTGCAATCAACTCAGATCCCGAGCGTGGCAGCCTGACATCGACGGTACGCCTCTGCCGCGGGAAGAACCTGGAGAGGCAAGCTGTGGCTGAGGTAGCCAGTCAATGCCAAATGCTGATCCGCTTCGGAACACCAGGAACGACGCGATGCCTGCCGCCCGCCGATAGCCAGGCTACACCTCCTAGCCGGTACTGGGGTCGAATCTTGACCGCCGGCCGAACTGCGATAAACAGGACCGCACGTCCGGGTAGGTCCCGCCCGAGCCGCTGCGGACATCAACTGCGTCTGACTCGCCTGACCGGATGATCACCCCGTCGGTTGAAGCAACATGGCTTGAAATAGATTCTGCTGTTGGAAACTGCTCTTGCCAAAATTACGACCTTCCTCCTTCCCATGACCTAATTGTCTTCAGGTATCTTGATTGCTGTGAAATAACAAAGCTGGAAACATGGCAAACAGCTGCATGTCCGTCAAAGTTGATATCCTGCGCCATGCCGTCTTCCAGACGCCAACTCCGGTGCATGTGGAATGACCACGCCCAGGGCAGTCCTCGTGGGCACTTGCCGACCAATGCGCCAGTGGTGACTCATTAAAACTTAACCTCCGCCATGCTCGACTTGCAACGATCCTGAGTGATGAGCGTTGTTGTTACCGTGTCGATTCTTCTTTTCCTTCTTGGCCCATCTAAGGCCACACGCGTTGCATAATGTTTTCGGTCCACTAGGGCCTTTGCGCCATTCCGGAGAATCCAGGGTACCTATTCAGATCATCATCGTTAGCCGGTGTGCTGCGTGCATCCTGCCATACCAAGCAGCCTGCAAGCCGCACCCAAGTTGGAGCTTACCACAATCCGTGCAGACATATTCCTCCGAAGTCTTGAGCTTCTTCTTCTTGTCACCTGTCCGAGGGTCCCGGTCCTGTGGAATCGCAATGCCCGCGTCTCCCTTGATCAAGGTCGGACTCGCGTTTCCTGTTGTGATGCCGCGGCTCCTCTCGCCCTCGATGTATCTCAGTCCGGTCAACATCTCAATGGTATCAGTGTGTGAGTTCCCTTCATATCTGGCCATCTTGTCCTTTAGTGAATCCGGGCGGCTCCCCGCAACACCCTCCAGTGCTTCGCGTGTAAGCGCAACGTTGAGGGCTGATGACCTGTCGCCCCCGTCACCGGCCCGAGATATGGCGCTCGGGGCGGATGTCATCGTGGTTTCCGATGGTGTTACGTCCGACCTGCCTTCCTGGCTCTGGAGCCACTGCCTCTGTGATTCTTCATTCTCCATGTCTTCCTCCTTGCGCAGCTCAGCAATGCGCCTCCTCAAACGTTCGTTCTCAATCTTGTGTTCCAGGAATGAGTCCAGTAAGCCGGCATTTTTTGTTGGATACGGACGTGACATCATGAATACGGCTTGGCAAAACGGCGTTTGATTGTGCGGGTTCGGCGCAAACTTAGACGCGGCGATGTGGGCGTGACCGACCGACTCGAAAATGGCGTATTTACCATCCTTCTTCTTTAGCCTGAAAAACAAGCGTAGCGGGTTTCCTGATGCTATAGACTCGTTTAGCTCGGCGACGTAGACGCCCTGGTCGTCAGGGTGGACGAGTTCCTTGAGGAACGTGTCGAGGATTTCGTCGGCGGTATAACCCGTAAGATTTAGAATGCTCGGGGAGACGAAACGTATGCGACCATTGGCGTCGAGTATCTGGAGAAAGTCTTTAAGCTCTTCGACGACCTTTGCTGGCCAGTTGCGCCTCTTTGTGAATTCGGTGAGGGTGCTGCCGGCCTGCTGCAAAGCCTGCGAATTGAAGCCGCTCGAAGGCATGGGGCCCCCACCAACAACGCTGGAGGTATCGTCGCCATTGTTGGAGTAATTGTTATTCATGGAAGGGGTATCGTCGGGGAGGCCGTCAGGCATTGGTGTATTGCCGACAAAGTTGAAGGTAGACATGGCGTTCTCGTCGTTGGGGTTGTCGACGCTCATGGACATGGCGTCAAAGCTTCCGTAGACTGTCGAGTCCAGGAGAGACGACATGATGTTGGGGTCGGCTTCCGCCATCTGCATTGCGTCAGCGCGTTGTTGGGAGCGGTCTGTAGCGAATTATAGTAATGGGGGTGGTTTCTCAAAACAATGCGCCGGGGGGTCTGGCGGGTCGGAGGTCGGGAAGGGTGACAGAGAGGAGAGGTAAGCGAGGCGGTCGAGGGGAAGAAAGTGAGTTATCAGATCAGGAGGAGGAGCATGGTTAGGAAAGCGGGCGGAACGAACAGCTTCAAAGGCGGAATAGGCATCTTGGGGCCCAAAGCCAAGAAAATTGGTTGGAGGCTGAGGTGGTCCGTGAGACATGGTTGCGGTACTGTTCCGATACTGGCCCTGACGGCTTCTAACAAAGGCATTTGCGATTTGAGGGGGCTGACTTGATCCCGATGCACGGGAAGTGTGCCCGGGGGGAGCAGAATGCGGTCCCGTTCACCTGGCGGCCAATATAAGGCGGTAGGCACTGCAAATCGGCTGGGTCTATTCGCAAGGTATGTACCGTCTCGTGCGTCTGTTGGCAGCTCAAACTGCGATAAGATGGTTGCTTGCGCCTGTGGCTGGAGCGAGGACCAGGTTCGAACTGGGGCCAATGCCAGGTACAACCAGCAGCAGCTTACTGGGTGTGCAACAACGGTGAGCTGTGAAAGCGCGAGAGAGTGAGCTCGTTGGTCTAAGTCGCGAGGACCGTCGTATGGGTATGAGCAGGTGCGGGGAGTAGGAACTGGTGATCCGGAGAGGCCTAGAACCTAAATAGATCAAGATAGAATGTAGGGTGCGAGCTGGTACGGGGCTTTGTGCATCGAGTAGTGGGCTTAGCCTTGCATGTCTATTTGGTCAGAACGTCTATTTTGTATTTTTTGTCGAAAAGGGTGCCAAAGAATGGGATTCGAAGACGACGTCAGAGTGCGTCCGGCGAAGGCAACAGAACGAGGGAATAGAGAGGGAGAGAGAGAGAAGAAAGCGGAGGACACCCAGATAAGGTCGACGGGGATGGTGGTGGTGGTGGTGGTATGTTTCTCTGTGAAATGTTTCCAAGCGACGGGGTCTCGTATCAATTAATAAAAAGGGCCAGATGGGTTTGCGGCTGCGAATGAGTATCGGTACAGAGGCTGACTATGCCTGTCTGGTTCGCAGAGGTGCAAAAGGAAGCGAGGGTTCGGTAGCGGCAGCAGTACCTAGTAGTACACGGGGCCAGTTGTCGAGGGAGTGAGTGAGTGAGCTGAGTGCGTGGATGAATGAGACGGGCTTTTGAGTCGAGGGCCAAGATGGAAGGCCAGATCAAGTGAGTGCAGCGGTGGGTGAGATGGACAGTACGTAGTAGAGAGAGCCCGTGGCTGCGGTCCTTGTCTTGGCTGCTGTGAGACGCTTTGCGAGGGCTGGATTGGGTTCCGTCAGGTTGGCACGCGGGTCATAAAATGAGGTCGAGTCGAGGCGCGGCCTGGCCTGGCCAGCGATGCAGGGTCGCGAGGGAAGATCAGAAGCTGCGTCGGAACGGTGGGGGAGTGAAATGGGATGAGAGGGAATGGATGAGGAGACGACGAGAATGGGGGGGGAAAAGATGAAAGGGAAAAAAAAGGTTGAGACGTGAAGGTGCGAGGCACACGAAAGTGCAGTGCAGGAAAGGAGAGAGAAAATAAGGTCAAGTCGTCACCATCCAAAAATTTGGCAGGGACAGAATGGCTACCTTGAGCTGGGATGCAGAAGGTGCAGAGCTGCGAGCCCGCACGTAAGATATTGAGCTCCGTAAAGTAAGGTAAGGTAAGGTACGGATACGGATGGAAAAAAAAAAAAAGGGAAGCGGAAGCGGCAGCGGTAGGTAAGGTAGCGGAAGCAGCAGGTGCAAGAAGCAATGGAAGAAGCAGGGACCTGAGATGAGGTGGGAAAAAAAGGATGGGAAACTGCAAAATGGAAACGGAGCACATGGCAATTCTGGCTATGGACTTTTCCCCCCCTTCACCTCAAGCATCCCGTCCTTAACTGCACCGCTGATGGTCCGCTGCACCCCTCCACCGTCGCCGGCACAGCACAGGCAAGTACTCCGTACCTACCTCGAGGAAGGCAGGTACTTCGTCATCGCACCCGACCCTGCCTTCCTTGCATTGGGTTGGGTCACTTGGCCATTCACATTGGGCGCCGGGCCTCTGTTCACTGAGACTGAGGTACTTCCCAGATTCTCTCCGCCCAATGAGTTGTCTCCAACTTCCCCCTCTTCCCCTCCACTCTGGCACATTACCTCACTCTATAGCCGTACTCCGCACCTAAGGTACCTACTGAGTGTACACTACCATAGACTCCCCCTCCCAATTCCAGACCTCTATCCTTTGAACCCCGCCGAAAACTCTCCCATGTCCCATCTGATACCTAAGGTACCTACCTACCTACTTAAGTACTAGGTAGGTATGTACGGGAGTATCTCATGGAAAGCCGCACCTCACCTTGCTCGCTAGCCAGACCTTAGTATGAAGCAGCACATGGCGGGCATGAAAAGAATGGCATCATCTACCTTACCTTGGCTCACCTTGCCTTACTGTATGCCTTGGGCACCGTAGGTCATGCGCCCGGCATGCACGGCCCATACCCAGTAGCCGGCTCCATCAAAAGTTGTTCCAAGGCTGATGCCCTGAGAACTCAGCACAGCGATAATCCCCTCACTGCTCCTAGCCCAACCCGACGGGTCGACCAGCTTGTCAACTGGGATAGCGCTGTCCGGAGCAAATGCCCCGACCTAGAGCCATTTGTGACCCCATCTTGCACTGCACTGCAATTTGAGCGGTCAAAGACTTGTCCCGACCACTCAGTGGGGCTGACTTGGAGTTGGACAGTACCTAACTAGGACTGGACGTCGTGGGCTCGTGGCTTGTTTGGTATCGAACCATAAAGTATCCGCTATCTGTCACGTCTTGCGCCTCACGCCTCGCGAGTGAACTGTGGCTGGCACTTGGCGGTTGTCTCTTGAGTAAAGCATCAGCCCAAGTCAAATGGTACCGGAAACACTATCCGTAGAGAACCTGTAAACTACAGCATGTCAGTACCTAGTCGTCATTCACCCTCCGTCCCGTTAACCAGACGAAAATCAGGACTGCTGAGGACCAAAGTCAGAGCGTCACGCCCGGAATGCTTGCCCAATACGCACAAACTTCTTCTAAACTCTTCTTCTGAAGACTTCTTGTTGAGCGGGCATGCTGCGCTTACTCCAACTTGCTGCTTGTTCGATCGCTCTAGGCCTTGACTCGAGTAATGTTCCCTGCAACCCACCAGAAAGGACTATGGATATGGCGTATTCGCATTGTAACATTACAAAACTCCATCAGATATTCGACGGAATCTGCTGAACTACCTTAGAACTGAACCCTGCTTGATAGTACCTGTCCTTTTGATGCAGGGTATTCAGTGATGTAATGGAGCAACAGCATCAGTTGCGCAAAATGCCTCGGAATCATGCCGTTTCACAAGCAGTTGAAGGAGAAACTCTTCTAATATGCCTACCAAACATGTGTCTCCATACGGATATTGCGAGCATTCATGGCTAGTACGAACATCTTCTGACAAAGGAATAAGCCCAAGTTGTCTCGATGACGTTGTGCATGCACCGTCTCTACCTGGCACCTAGGTAAGTTAGGAGCTCTCCCAAAGTAGTCCGATCTTATTAATTAGCGCCCCAGCCGAAAAAGTGCCTAAGGTAGCTCGAGCTGTGTGAAGACTCTCGGAAACCCACCCCACTTCGAATTGCTCTCCCTAGGTATCTTACCAGGGCGTGCACACACAAGAGATGGAATATTCACAAGATGGGTTTCATCTCAACTCTGAATATGCTGTATCTAGTGTTCCCGTAATATTCGGGGCGTTTCCAGGTACCCAAATCACTGTACCTATATCGAACCTCGCATATTATAGGCAGGGTACCTTATCTGAGGAGACCGACGGTGCTGAGGATCAGTCAGTAACGATATTGCCGTCGGATACCTAGAGCATTCTGTAGCGTTTATTGTTTGACTGAGTACCTTACCTCAAGTCAACAGCGGCTTACATAAACATGTATGCGAGGTCACGCTTTTTCGCACCTCCATCAACGCGTGCCTGGCTGCCGGGAAGGCGCGTCCTCCTTGGTGCACGTCCCCTACATCCTGCATCCCACTCAAGGCACCTATCCGCCTCTGTGCCGACCTCATTGGAGCCTGGACGGCGACGACGAGCCACCCCAAGGAGCAACCTCCCATACGAGAAGACAAAAAGGCCTGCCTTTCTTGCGAAATTCTCCTATTGGGCCCAACCTTCGTGTCAACGTCTTCTTGAACCGCGCCTCATTGATCAGCTCAATCCCACCTCATCGCATGGCATTGGCCCCAAGTCACCATGTCTAAAATTGACAAGCTATCCATCCAGGGCATTCGCTCTTTTGGTGGCAGCAGGGAGACGATTTCCTTCTACACTCCCTTGACCCTCATCGTCGGTTACAACGGCTCGGGTAAGACGACTATTATCGAGTGTCTCAAATATGCGACCACCGGCGAGCAACCTCCGAACAGCAAAGGCGGTGCTTTCGTCCATGACCCCAAGGTTTGTGCCTTATACTTTCGCCCAATTCACCTAGTGAGGCTAACATGTTGCAGCTCTGCGGAGAGAAGGAAGTCTTGGCCCAAGTCAAGCTTGCGTTCACATCGACTAGCAGCCACAAATGCGTTGCGACACGAAGCCTTCAGTTAACCGTCAAGAAAACCACTCGATCGCTCAAGACTCTCGAGGGATCACTAGTGTACAACAACCATGGCGAACGTACCGTCATTTCATCCCGGGTCGCCCAGATGGATGAATTTATCCCGAGAGAATTGGGCGTTTCCAGAGCAATCCTCGACTACGTCATCTTCTGCCATCAGGACGAATCTCTCTGGCCCATGAGTGAGCCTTCGGCCCTGAAGAAGCAGTTCGACCAGATCTTCGAAGCGATGCGATACACCAAAGCCATTGACAACCTAAAGGTTCTCAGAAAGAAGCAGGGCGAAGAACTTGCCAAGCTCAAAATCTTTGAGGAACAAGACCGAATCAACAAGGAGAAGGGCGACCGTGCCGAGAAGCGATCTATGGCATTGCAGAACGATATCGAGAGCTCCAGGGACAAGTGCAATGCCCTCACAGAGGAGATGGAGGAGCTTCAGGAGCAAATCCGCGAGAAGCACGAGCAGGCCAACAGCTATTTGAGCATCGTCAATGACCTCAAGTTCAAGAGAGATCAACTGAGCTACCGCGAAGGATCCATCGCGGATATCAAGATGACCCTTGAAGAGCTTCCCGAGACCGACGAATACCTGGAGAATGCACTTGCGCAGTACGAAGAGCGCATGTCTCGGTACCAAGAAGAATCAGAGCAGAACAAGGCCCAGTATTCGGAGCTGCAAAAGGATCTCTCACAGTCTCGTCGGGAACATTCAGCGAAGCTCGCCGAGCAGGGAAAACACCAATCTGACAAGGACAAGTATGAACGGCAACTTCAGTCCCGTATGCAATTGGTCCGAGATGCAGCAGAACTTCACGGTTTCCGCGGCTACGATGGCGACTTGAAGGACAGTCAGATCAAGGCGTTCAACGAGCGCATCCAGAAGCTACTAGCTGAGAAGAAGCGGGATCTCGAACGTCTACAAAAGGAGAACGCGCGTGAGCTAGACGAGGCGACCAAGGTCATTACGGAGCTGGAGGGCCGGAAGGCAACCACGACGCAAAACCGTGTCTTCGCCAAGCAACGAATGGGTGCCATTGAGAAGCGGATCAATGTCTTGCAAATGGACATTAATCGTCTGGACATCGACGAGGGCGCCAAGGCCATTTTAGACAGCCAATTCGAGGATGTCGAAGGCAGGTTGAAGAAGGCTCAGGAGTCCTTGAGTAGTGCCGACTACGATACTCAGCTCAAGTCGGAAAACGAGAAGCTGTGGCAACTCGAGAGCGAGACGGAAAAACTTGGACGCGAATTGATTGAGTGCACAAGACTTGCCTCGGAGCGGGCACAGCTGGATTTGAGAAAGAAAGAGCTGGCAGATCGCAAGCGAAAACTGGAGACCCTAGCCACCACATGGAAGCCCAAGCTAGACACGCATATCGGCACTACTTGGCAGACCGACACTCTCGAGGCCCAGTTCCACGATGCCGTGAAGCGCCAGAACAAGGTTGTTTCTGAAGCTCGTCAGAAACGGGATACTGCGCGGGACAAGCAACAGAAGGTCGACTTCAGACTCAAGAGCGCTAAAGACATTGGTTCCAAAAAGACTGATGAAGCACAACGTTGTCGGGCTGCGGTCGTTGGCGCTTTGCAGGCAGTTCGAGACGGTGCAACAATTGAGGACTATGAAGAAGAAGTCAAGATGCATGAGGAAGACGTGGAGACGTACACCACCGATATCAGTCTTCTTGATGCTTTGGCAGATTACTACCGCGGCTGCCAAAAGACCCTGCAAGACAAGAACAAATGCCGGCTTTGCGACCGCAACTTTGATGACAAGTCTAACGTCTCCAAGTCTCGCTTCTCAGACAAGTTGATCAAGTTTCTTGATCCCAACAAGAAGGAAAAGGCAGAGGAAGATCTCGCCAACTCTAACGCCCTCCTTGGCTCGCTGCGGAAGGTGAAGACGCAGTACGAAACGTACCAGAGGCTGATGTCGGAGCTGCCTCCTCTAAAAGAAGAGGTTGCTTCTTTCGAAGCGGAGTGTGAAACTTTGGGCCGGCAGCTCGAGGAGCATGACGCCGCTGTCAGCACCGAGGAAGGCAAACTGAACGACATTGAGTCTCTCAACAAGACTGTCATCAACATCACACAAGTTTTGAAGGATATCAAGGACTCCGAAGCGCAGGTTGACAGAATCATGTCTCAGCAATCATCTGGCAACGTCAGCAGGAGCGCTGATGAAATACACGAGCTTCAGGCTTCATGCAACGAACAGATTCGAACGATAAAGGGGAAGATCTCAAAGACGACAACGGATTGGCAGCGGATGAGGGACCAGGTGAACTCTCTCGAGCTGGAGAAGAGCGAGCTCCGGAATAAGTTGAGCAAGGCCTTGAACCAGCTTGAACGCAAAAAGGACTTCCTGAACCAGATCCAGACTTTAAAGGAGGATCAGGCCCACCAACGAGACTTGATCAGCACCGCCGACCAGGAGCTAGAATCTATCGAGCCGGAGATCGCCGAGGCCAGATCAGTCCGGGACGAAACTTTGCAACGCGGCCGTGGCAAGGAACAGTCTGTTGCCGAGGAGCGCGACAAGGTTGCCGACTCCGTTACTGAGTTCAAGATGGTCGAGAGTGATATTCAGGAGTACATTGACCGGGGCGGCCCTTCCAACCTGGCAGCAAACCAGCGTGCTATCGCTAGTCTCGAGAAGTCGATTGCTGGCCTGGAGAAGGAGATTTCAGACTTGACCGTGCGGACGAACAAGTTGAAGCAGGACATTGATAACGGTGATCGCAAGAAGCAAAATATCAGCAATAACCTGAAGTACCGCCAGAACCTGCAGCAACTCGACATCCTCCGCCGAGACATTGCAGAGCTGGAGTCTCGTGACGCTGACGAGGATTACAAGTCGCTGATTTCCGAAGCAAAGCACCTGGAGAACCGCCACAACCGACTGGTCGCCGACCGTGGCTCTATCATGGGGCAGATGAAGACAAAAGACGAGGAACTTGAGCGACTCCTGGAAGAGTGGCAACAAGAGTACAAGAACTCTTCCAGAAAGTATCGTGAGTCGCACATCAAGGTTGAGACAACCAAAGCTGCCATTGAGGACTTGGGCCGTTACATTTCGGCGCTGGACACGGCTATCATGCGGTACCACAGCCTCAAGATGGAGGAGATCAACCGCATCGCCGGCGAGTTGTGGCAGAGCACGTACCAGGGTACCGATATTGACACCATACTCATCCGTTCCGACAACGAGAATGCGACGACGGGCCGCCGCTCGTACAACTATCGCGTCTGCATGGTCAAGCAGGACACTGAGATGGACATGCGCGGTCGCTGTTCAGCGGGTCAAAAGGTTCTCGCCAGCATCATTATCCGCCTCGCCCTTGCTGAGAGTTTCGGCGTCAACTGCGGCCTCATCGCCCTCGACGAGCCGACGACCAATCTCGATAAGGACAACATCAAGAGTCTCGCCGAGAGCCTCCACGCCATCATCAAGGCACGCCAGGCGCAGAGCAACTTCCAGCTCATCGTCATCACGCACGACGAGGAGTTTTTGCGACACATGCGCTGCAGCGACTTCTGCGACAGCTTCTTCCGGGTCCGGCGAGACGACAAGCAGAACAGTGTCATTACGAAGGAGAGTATCACTAGAGTCTTGTAATGAAATATGTCTGTTCATAAGGCGTTTATACGGGAAAGGTATGGGATTCCGGGGCTGCTTCATTATGGACCATGAAATAGCGCATGGCGTTTGGGAGGTTTACGGTTGTCTACTACTTTGTTCTCTTCGCCCATGTAGTCAGAGAGCTACACGAATCCTACCTTGCCACTTGAGTCGGCAACGATATGGTTGAGAGTATTGTCTCACTCACTCCTGCTTTTCGTGATGTCACATCTCCTGTCTTTCTCGCCCAATTGTTCATGTCTGAGTCGATACTAACGCGCCAGGTCGACGCCAAACTCATGACGATGCTTCAAATCTCAAATCTCACGAACGATAAACGACAATGTAGGCTTTTGGTGAAGACGGTTTCTTGGTATCATATAATCATCCGCAACACAACTCACTCATTGGGCGAGAGACCCCATTCCGTCCCCTCCTAAGCGCCTCCTGCTTTGGCAGCCATCTCGGCGTCTTTCGCTTTCGCTGCCGCTGCCGCTGCTGCCTCTGCAGCAGTAGCCTCGTCCGCCGCGTCATCCTTCTTGGCCTCAGTCTCTTCATCTTTGCCCTCCCCAGCCTTAGGCTCGGCCTCCTTCACATCCTCCTCCTTGGTGTCGTCTTCCTTGGGCGAGGTAGGGATTGTAGCATCCGTTGCTTCGCCCGCAATGTCGCCTTCGTGCTCCTTGACCTTCTTGCTCGCCAGACCATCGAGCTCCTCGTCCGCATCACGCTTAGGATGCGACGTGATACTCGTGTCGGATGCCGCGTCATCGACAACCGCATCCGCCGTCGTCTCATCTTCCGTCGCGGCATCACCCTCCTTGACGTCCTCGGGAGGAGGCGTGGCGGCTTTCCTGCCCACCGCAGCCTCAACGTCAATGCCCTGCATGTCAAGACCGGGCCCACCGCCCACAAAGCTCGTCGTCTCGCTCTGCGGGCCGAGATCGCCAACACCAATCTCCTCGGGACCGCGAGCGTGCGGCGCCTCGTTCTCGTCTTCAGCAGCGGCAGCAGCACCGGCAGCGTCCTGCTGCTCATCATCCTGCTGCTGCTTCTCGGGGCTACTGGCTCTGCCGCCGTCCCCGCTTCGCAGGGCGGCGGCGTGTTGTGCTTCTTCTGCTTGTCGCACGAGTTGGTTGACTGGAACGACGCCCTGCTCCTGCTCTTGTCGCAGTAACTCACCTTGTGTTATCGCGCGGCTGCTGCTGGCGCCCATAGACGGTATGCCGTTGACACTGACGCTGACGGTCTCGATACTTCCGACGCCGTTAGGGCCATCAATGGTCTCCGTTGACTCGGTACGAATCTCGGCCGGTCCACCACCATTTGAAGAGGCTGGCGAGGATGAGCCGGGGCTTGGTCGGCGTGTGAGCCACGGGATCGGGGTTAGTAGAGCGCCGCCGAGGGCTTCGTCTGTGCCGACGGTTGAGGCGACTGAGTTGGTCGAGTTGCTCCAGGCGACCGAAGCCGCTGGGTTGTTGATCTCCTGGCCGTTTGTGCTGCCATTGGAGAGCAGTGTCATGGTAGACATGTCGGGTATGGCTGGCGGAAGAGGGTAGGTGTTTGCGCCGCTGGTTACATGAACGACGCGGTCGACGGCATGGAGGTACGATGCCAGATGGCGGTAATGGCGCCGCGGCTCGAGGACGAGCTCGGCAAGGCGCTGGATCGTGTGCGGCGGGTATTTCGGGAAGCTGGCCAAGACAGTGTTGATCTCGTTCAGCATTGCTTCAATCTGTGCGGGGAGCGATCCCGAGGCGGTGGACGGGGGTGCGTCGGCGACAGCTGCGTCGGTATCAGTAGCGCTTTCGACCGTAGCCTTGGATGGCGAGGCATCTTTAGGCTGGCTGTTCTCCTTGTCGGCGTCCTGTGATGACGGCTGGCTGCTGGCGGGATCGATGGAGGACGAGGGGAGCGGCGAGAGTAGTCGTGGTTGTTGGCCTGGCGCGTTAATGGGTTGAGGAGGGGTGGGTAGGTTCGGAATAGGGAATGCATTGTGGGCGATCTAGACATTCGCGATGCGAACTGGTGAGCGCGCCCTACCGAGGAGATTTCGTCTTTCATAGATGTACGATGGTGGGATTTTCCGGTCGAAGCCAGACCTGGGGGCGGACGTACCTTATCTAGCCTCGAGATGATTCCTTGCGACAGGGCGGGCCATAGACCGCTGATACGCCATGCAATTAGCAGCTAAGCAGGAGATGGGTAGAGTTGACAACAAGTTTACTTACTAGTCCATTTCGCCGCCTGTCGCGACCGTCCGTAAGAGATCTTCGTCGACCTCGATCTCCATTTTGGCGGGTATGGGGTGTTTGGGTGAAGTAAGTGGTGGTTGAAAGGTTGAGCCTCCCACTGACGTCGCGTGCTTGTGAAAAAGCGCGACTCTAGCTACCTACCTCAGAGGACTTTGGGGGGTCTTGGGGTATGTAACAGTGGGTGGCACAATCTACCTACCGTTAACACTTCAGCTTCTCACAATTATTTTCATCACCATCGACGCTGTCACAATTGCTTCTACCACTGTAACTACCGCTGTAACTACTATTGCCGTTACTTTCCCCGGCTACTCGTATCTCTCTCGCCATATTCTGTGTGGAATACAATTGGACCCATAGCAGTTCATTGGTAGAGGTAATGTGCGTGTATGTTGTACCTTCCTGCACAAGGTTAAGCTTCAAAGCTAGGTACCTCAAGTAAGAAGAAAGGAAAAAAGGGACGGAAGGCGCGCCTCCCTTCCTTCCTTGACCGTTGCTCCTGCCTGCGAAAGGGATTTTGCAACACCAAAACTCAACACCACGCCTAGGTATTCAGACTGGGCAAAATGCAAAAGATAAGATTCGTGATCGATGCAGGGATCGAACCTGCGATCCTCTGCGATATAGATCGTTCAGAATTGATAGATCTTGTAAAGCAGATGCCTTAACCACTGGGCCAATCGACCGTCGTTTTTTGTTAAATTTTCTGAGCAGTTTGGCGCATACATACCCCTACCAGCGGTGCTGAGCCCACCACAGTAAGCTCCGTACGTCACATCCAGCGCCTCAAAATTGCCAGAGCTTCCAACTGCCAGTCAGTAACACAACACACTCATCAACCCACAAAGACACCATGCGAGGACTCAGAGCTCCCAATACGCTCCTCAGAGGCGCCAATGGCATCCTACCAGCTTCTCAAAGGTGATCTCCCTTACCATCTCGACCAGGCGACTTCAATTGACCCGAAACAGCAGCGCAATCCAGGCACCGCTCGCAGCTCGCCTGATGGTATCCTCAACTCTCCGCCCGCAAAACACCACCACCGCCGCGACGATTCGTCCCTTCTCCCACTCAACAACCCTCCAAAAGAAGAAGAAGAGCGAGCCCAAATACCCAACAGCCGACTCCCCCGCCGTCGTCTCCCGCACCTCCCACACCGCAGACGAAGCCGACACAGACGACCTCCCGGGCTCAAAGCACCCGAAACCAGACCCGACCGACCCCCTCAACTTCGCCGACGTCGCCTCCCGCTTCGCCTCCCTCTCCTCCCACCACACCGAGATCCTCAAAAAACTCCAATCCGGCGACCGCTTCTCGCCCGACGCCATCGGCGCCCTCGCCATCCAGCCCGACCGCAAGGACCCGACGACCTACCCCCTCCGCGAGCTCGCCGAGATCGTGCCCCGCCCCGGGGGGCGCACCGTCAGCCTCCTGCTGCACGACAAGGACTACGTCAAGCCCGTCATGGCCGCCGTCCAGGCCTCCCCCGACTTCAACCAGCAGCCGCAGCGCGACCCGGACAACGAGCTCGAGCTCGTGCTCAAGGTCGAGGCGACGAACAAGGAGGTCGTTGTGCGGCGGGCAAAGGACGCCGCCCAGGCGTGGCGGGACAAGATGCGCGTCGCGACGGAGAAGAGGAAGAAGCTGCACGCAAAGTGGGAGAAGGAGAAGAGCATCGTGCCGGATCTCAAGAGGCGGGCGGACAAGGAGCTGCAAAAGGTGCAGGATAAGGAGATGAAGGTTGTCGATGCTGCTGAGCAGCAGGCTGTCAGGAAGTTGCAAGCTTAAGTTCTGGGAACAGATGGAACACTTTTCCAAGTTATTGAGCTCAAAAGTCTTCGACGGGTCACATTACAATAGGAGATGTTGCTTTCCCCATGTATAACGAGGTAGTTGCTACCATGAAAAGTCTCGGGAGAAAAGATTCAATCCGTAGTGTACAGTAGAAGAGACTTTCGGATCTAGTTGTACAATATGTATTTTTTTTTTTTTTGGCTGTACCAAACCTCCCCATCTCTATAATCATACAACGAATCGCCCATCTGCATTTTCGTCTTCACTCTTCTTCCCGTACTTGTTACCATCCTTGTTGATATTACATTCTCTTGAAAGACCCAGGCCTTCCAAATCAAGCCCTCGCAGCCTTGCCCCCCTTGGCGGCACCAGCAGCACCCTTCTTAGCAACAAGAGCCGCAATCTTGTCGTCAAACTTCTTCATATCCCCCGCCACGTACGTCTCGTTGTGCAGATGCGACTCTTTAGCCATGTTGACCGGATCCCGGCTGCCGCCCGGCACGAACTTGGGACCGACGTGCTGGCCCTTGACGGCCCGCTGAAGGATATACTCCCTCACGGCCTTGCTCGCGCCCTCCTCGAGCTTCAGATCCCGCACGGCGTGGACGTGGACATCGTCGTCGACGACACCCGCAATAGCGTCAGGCTTCTCCTCCGCCGCCGCCTTCTCGCCCGTCCTCTCCTCGCGCGCCTCGACAAACGCCTTCTTCTCCGCGCCGTCGACGAAGAAGTACACGCCCCGGTCCCGGGTATTAGCCAGCGTCTCGGCCGTGTGCCGCACGTCGCCCCACCGCTCGGGCGTGTAATCCGCCGCGCCGGCAACCTCCCGCAGCGAGCTCAGCACCGTCGCCGCCTGCACGACGGGCTGCGCCGCCGACGAGAGGGGCATGGCGGGCCTGAAGCCCAGCAGGTCGCCGACGCTGAGACTAGGCGTAAACTGCTCGGGCGCACCGTTGCGTTTCGAAATGTACGCGCGCTCCTCGGCCGTCTCGGGACGCCAGAACATCTCGATCTGGGACTTCCAACCCTCGGGGCCCTGCCCAGTAGGCTTGGGGCGGTTCTCGCCGTCTTCTTCGCCCTTGCGTCCGCCCCGGCCTCCGCCGCGACCTCCACGGCCTCCGCGACCACCGCGGCCGGTACCGCCTCGACCGGCACCACGACCCCTGAAGCCGCCGCCTCCGCGTCCTCTGAAACCACCGCCTCCCTCGCCTCCTCCACGGCCGGCGAACCCTCCACGGCCAGCGAAATCTCCACGTCCTCCACGAGCGCCGAAGCCCGCGCCGGGACCACCACGACCACGTCCGAATCCGACAGGCGCCTTGACAAATTTGACCGCACCGCCAGCTCCAGAAGGTCCATCGAGACCACCAAGCCTAGGCTTCTCATCAAGGCCCCGAGGCTGAGCAGCACCGCCGGAAGAAGCAGCAGCATTATTCACCGGCCCGCCACGCAGAAGCTGTCCAATCTCGCTAGCCGCGGCGCGGGAGCGCTCTCGTCCGGTAAGTTGAGGCCTGTTGTAGGCTCGCGAGGAGGAAGATTTGTCACCATTGTCGTTTCTGTTCGAGTTCGATGAAGAAGATTCGTCCGCCAGGCGCAATTGCGTCGTAGAAAAGGTCCGGATGCAGGTCTTGATTGCGACCACGTCAGGTTTTATGCGGCTGCTCGCCGATCGCAGCGCCGATTGATGCATTTTCGGGGGAGGCGCGAATTGTGTCGGGCTTCGCGATCAATGTCTATTGAAAGTGGTGAGCCTCGTCCCTGACCTCGAGGTTGATCTTGCCAGGAGCTCGCTCTCGCAGAAAAATCTTCGTTACGTAAGCATTTTAGGCATGGTCCGTGCTTGAACTGGTAGTGCAAGGGTCAATCACGGGCAAGTCGATGACCGTACCTGAGGTGAGTTCACGACGAACTTAAGAGAACTGCATACTAAAACTTCGCACACGCGTGGAGAATGATTTTTAACCATGTTAATATGGGTATCTTTGCATTACAATACTCCGAGTCAGGAATATCAAAAAAGATACGCTGAAGATATTCGTCAGTAGGATCTGTTGCCCACTTAGATTCCATATGCCCCGTGACTCGTCCTCGCATCATGTGCGTTCCCGCCTCAATACTCCAAGTCTCGTGCTTCCAAATGCCTTGCTCCTCTCAAATGCAAGTCTTATGCACACTGAAACAAACCAATACCTTCTCCCAAGTCTTTTTGGTCAGTTGCCCCTCCTTGAACGCCCCCGGCCTATTCTCTAGTACTACCGCACCTCTCTGGTGCAATAGCGAGTCTTGGCGGAAAAAGGAGAAAAATGAAAAATGCAAGGACCCAATTCGAAAAATGAATAAAACAGTGGTCCAACTCCAGCGGCCTCTTGCCGTCGCTTCGGACAGGACCGCATGCGGTTCAAAGGCTTTATGCGAACGCAGCCTCTATGGGCGTGTTCCTACTCAAGCCAGGGGCGTGGCCTCGGTAGTAGGTGGTGCATTGTACATCGTAACCAATTCCTTCACCTTGGGCAGCAAGTCCGGTATTCTAAAAGGCTTCGAAATCACGTCGTCCTGTGTCATCATGTTAGTGAAGTTCGATATGTGCAGTTTGGAGGTCCACTCACGATACCGGCGGCTTTCGCGCTCTCGATCTGCTCTGGCCGCGCGTATGCCGTGACAGCAATGATTGGTATGTGCCTAGTCAAAGTGCCTTCCCTCTCCAATTCACGGATACGTTTCGTACACGTGATTCCATCCATGACCGGCATCTCCAGGTCCATAAGAATGACGCTGAGATCAAAGCCCTCAGCCTCGTTGCCAGCCCAGAAACGGGACTTCTTGAGCTGTTCGAGGGCCTCGCCTCCGTGGTTAGCGACGTATGTAGTGTTGCCGCAGCTTGTGAGTTGCTTCCGCAGAACCCTCTGATTAACAATGTTGTCCTCCACAATCAAAACATCGTACAGCGGCGTCGCAGGGGCCACCGGCTTCTTGATAGAAGCCCTTCTAGGCAGGGTTGTGAGCGGAGGCGTCGATGGTGCGGAAGTTGGCTCGCTTTTGACTGGTTGCGCCAAGTTGAGCGCCGAGAGAGACGGCGACTCCAGACTAGGTGATTCCGTCTTGCGACACTTGACGTAGAATGCGAAAGTGCTGCCGATTCCCTTCTCGGAGACAACACCAATCTGGCCGCCCTGTAATTCGGCAAGCATGCGAGAGATGAAGAGACCGAGTCCCGAGCCACCATACTGCACGTGGGTGCGCGGTG